CGTAATTGGCTCTCTTTCGTTATTACGAGGATAACTTCGTATAAATTTTATTCAACAAATTGGAGTGCCGAGGGAGTAACTCGCCCGTTGTGTTTACTCATCGCGTGCTCGCGAGCATCTCGGAAGTACAACAAATTGCTGGCTGTAAATTGGAGGAAATGGCGGAGTATGAGTTTGCAGCAGCGAGAGTATCTAATGTCTAGTTCGTTCTCGAATGTGGGTTGGGGTTGGGTTGGGTTAAAACGTGATCGAAGGTTTTTTTTCCGTTTGATAGGCGTAAATTAAACGTGAAGTATGAGAGAAAAAAAGAAAGGCATAGATTTGAAAAGAAATGCCCGAGCTTTCGGACGAAATACGCAGACACATTCCACGCGACGGCACGAGAGAATCCCGAACGATGCAAACGTGTGCATGCACGCGTGTATAGTTTGGGCCAAAAGGCATTCGAGACATTAGCGTTTGGGGGAAGGCAGGGGAGGTAATTGCATTGAATGCGTGGCTTCCAATGCCAAGTGTCCGATAGTTTATAGTCCTCGTGCATTGCAGCGCGATTTCGCTTTGGTTTGAACATTTGCTCGTGCGAGCATCTAGCCAGCGGAGGGAGCGGAGGGGGTCTCTTTGTTTCGTTGCTACTAAGAAGTTGTGTGTGCGCATAGAGTATCATTTCTACCGTATTTAGATGCAAATGGTATAAACGAGAAATTCCTATATAGCCGAGCTTTACGTGTCTAGTTACAACAGTTTGAAATTGTAGTTCGAGTGATATTCGTTTTGTTTTTAATTTATGAAGAAGACGTGATATAAAGTTTATCGGTAAAGCATATAAGTACGTGATGGTATATTCGGTCAAATAATAATATCTAATAGATTGTACTGTTTTTTTATCCAAATATGTATTTACGATTGTAAGTAAATGAATATTTTTCTTTTGTATGGTCATTAAACAACAGTTTTTATAAATTTGCTAATCATTTGGAACGTGAAAGAGTCAACTCAAACGAATATAATCATTATATGAATAATGCTGCAATAGTCTTGCAGTTTCTTCAGACCAAATCAACGAAACGTTATCCATGTAAAGATTATATAAGTGTTTGTGGAAATTATCTCTCAGCTTTGGAAAAATTATTTAAACTTATACGATAACAAATGTACGTTACTTAGTTAATGAATTTGCGTCTCATGATTCGCATTAGACATTGTATCGCTATTGATGAAAATCCCACGTGAAATGGCTAACATTGATCAACGCGCCTAAAAGTCATAGCATTCACAAAATCAATATTTCAGTAAAACAAAGTCGACCCTTCGAGGAGAATGCGATTATGAATGCCCTCTGATTCCTCACTGTTACAATAAACCAAGATGCCATGAGGTCAGGCGACCCCGCCCACTTCATTACGAAAGTGCCAACAGCAGGCAATCCAAAGCTTAATTCACATCAGATGCGCATAACAGCAACAGAAGCGGCAGCGGTACAGCTCGAATCATCCCAATGAAAGCTATGAGCTTGCTAGCGGCAGGCACTTGTCGGTCGAGCGAATACGAATGCTATGCCTAAATTTAACTCTCTCTCTCTCTCTCTCTCTCTCGTGAACGTCGCGCCCGGAATACTGGAATAATCTGCTTTTCACTTGCACGTCTGCACTTTTGGCCGTTGATCTTGGATGCTGGACAACAATAATGCCTCGCTCAGTTTTCATTTTCGACTTCGCTACGATGAAGTAAACCATATTCTGGCGAAAAAGTATGCCTTATTTTTTTGGGTTGATTGAGTTTTGCCATGAGATAGATTTCACTCTTTGTTTATATTATTATTATCATTATCATTATTATTATTATATCTCATTTACTATTAAACCCTTCGTTGGATTATATCTCATATCCACGAAAAATCATAACGAGATCGGCTGTTTAACTTATAATCTAGCAATCTAAACAACAATTTTGTTATATTCCAATAAATTTTTGCTATCTTTAAAATTGTTCTTTTGATTGTTTATTATCGATAGGATTTTTATTCAGTAAATCCAATTAATGAAAATTTTGGTTAGTATAAAAATAGCTATTTCATTGAAATCATCAATATTTATAATTGTTCTAACTCTTGCAATACACCGTGCTAATAAAAACTAAAAAGAAATTGACAATCAATCGTAATCACAATCCATTCGTTGAAAACTTAATTCAAATCGCTTTACAATGCTGCCAAACTCACCAATCAGGGCGTTCGCTGGTATAGGGGTTAGTAATTGAATAGCGATTTTGATTTGAAACTCTGGCATGGCATTTGGCATATCGGATGTACACCATGTAGGAGAGAAGAGCAAAGCTGCTGAGGCCATGTGTCAATCGGCATATACATATAGCGACCCAATGAAATTGCCCCCGCTACATAATTCAGCGAGAGCCCCGTCAATATTGTACTCCCGAAACTTCTTTTTTTAATCAAAAATTGCTTTTAGTCTTAATTTATAATATTTAAAAATTATACTTACATATGTAATCTCCGCATAACAAGTAATCGTATTATATTATTTTCCAATAAAAAACTTTTTCCATAGAAAAATGAAATGCAACCTTTTTATTACCTTGGAAGATGTATTTATTCAACTCCATAAGCCAGACAGACAATTCCAATCGGATGATGTCTTTTTATACCACAGTAATATGTAAAACATTAATTTAATTAAACAGTTTTCAGAGAACTACAAGGAAAATCTTACCTGCAATATTTCCCGAAATGATGAACTGGCATTTTAAAAGAGGCAAATACATTCTATCCAACATGCGCCTATAAAGATTAAATTGTCTGAACTTTTCATTGTTAGCTAAACGTTAGTTTTTTTTATTTCACAAAATTTCTAAAACAAAATGGCCAGTATAAATTTTATTATACTGCATTATATGAATTATCCCTATGCACCTTTTTGATAAATCTGCCATGAATTTCGGTTACATATGTCTAGAGAGGCTGTTTTCAAATTAAGTTCCTTGATGCATGTATTTGATAACATAGAAATTTTTGTTTGAATTTAACATTTGAAACGTTAACTTGAACTTTATAAGGAAACAAAAACGCGATTTCCATCGTCGTTTTTAATAGTAAAATTATCATGCTTTTGAATTTGATGCTCAAAAGTCACAATTAATGTACAAGTAGGATTAACAATACAACAGACAACTTATTGTTCCATGAGGTACTAATTGAAGCTGTGGTGCGCTCAGACGCACAAAAGATTTTGCTGAATCGTCACACAACTGCGTCTCCCTAAAGGATTGACGGCAAAAGGGCCATAAGGTCCGAATTCGGGTATGGTAACTCCATTGTCGGTCACTTTCTACTACGATGCTGTAATTTTCCACGCTACTCTTTCTGTTCCTCAAGAACGATCCAACTCTCTCACACTGGTACATATACACAGACATCCAAATTCCAGTTTCACAATATGTTATTTCGAAGATATAAGAAAATCTGTTTTGTATGTTTTTGAAATGAAGACTACTCCTTACTAAAAAATTTTGATACAGTAGATCATTCTTGCTACAACTCTTAGATTAATGCAATAATATAATTTAAAAATATTAATTTTTAATCGGTGATTCGTTTGAGAGCTGCACTCACCCTCTATTGGAAAATTAGGAACTACCTTAACTTGTGAAGTAAGTCACAATACTCTGGACAATAGACTACTACAATGTAATAAATAGCAACAGATTTCTGATTTAATGAAAAATATATAATAAATAAAATAAATTTCATTGCTACAAATGAATTGATGAAAGAAATTTTGGTTTAGCGAAAAAAGGTTCCAGAAGTACAATATTATGGGCATGAGCACATCAGCTCAAAAGCTGTCTATAAAGAAAGCACAGCTATATTTAATACAACTCTTCCTGCTGGTATACTGCAGGTGATGGGCCAAATCAAGCATTGATATCAGCGCTTATTTTGCAAGTGAAAGAGATTGAGAGAGACACGACACCGCCGTACTGCCCATACTCGGACAGCGAATGTAATTACAGAACTGTTCGGTACTATCTTTGTTAAAGGCTAATAGGGGATACACGATTGGATTATCAGGCAGCTTTCGGGGATGTATGCGTTTTCTAAGAGGCTGTAGAGTTTTAATTGAAATTACGCATGCTTGATCATAGAGGGATGAAATGCATTACAATTGTTTACAAAAGTTTTCTTAGCGATGACATTTATATTAGTTTCTTTTATTAAAGAAAATAAATCTCATCACCAAAAGAGCAGAGACAGTGTAGTTGGCAAATGCATGTAAAAAGTTCAATAATTACGTTAAACTTCATTTGACCAATATTCAATACTACAAGAAATAATATTGCATTAACAGTATAGTGAAGATATATTATATGTAAAAGTGCCATACACGAAAAAGTTTAATAAACTGAGTAATAACATTTCATCATCAAATAAAATTAAGAAATCATATTATCAATTACAGCAACTTTTGAAAGATGAATCTCAGCAACTAGCCTAATTTTTTTGTGTTAATGCAATCAAAGATACTATTGAAACATTCGTTATAATATGTGCATTTATGTCATTTAAAATTTGAAATAAAATTGAAAAAGTAAATGGCATCTAAATACTTAGCTAGAGTTCAAATAATTTATTCAATTGACACAGCCACATGTCTTTTTATTTGGGTTACTTAAAAGACGTGTAAAAAATCGTATTTTATCATGATAATTAGAAAAGTCTAGTTTTTTTAATTAAAAAATATTTCGACAATCCGTGCACGAGAACTCGAAAGCAAGTGTGCTTCGAACCACGTCTCGCACATATTGTATCGAATAATCAAGTTGGATACATGTGCGCGAGAAAGTAATTTTGTCCTCATGTGGCCTCTTCATCCTCGCTTTGTTCGGGCGTAAACTTCTTGCATTAGTATCGAAAAGAATTGTACTCATTTCTAGAACGATTACGAAAGAGTTCAATTTTTAATTCAATTTTGAGTTTCAATTGTTGTTATACTAAATTGAATGTCTTGATTCAGTTTGGACTCTCAATGTATCAATTTGATAACGAAATGTGAGTAAGGTTTTCGTAGTGTTTAAGTATTTTTAGCAAGTATAAATTATACGTAGCATCATGATTTGATTCAGCTCCTTCCTTTTCTATCGGAAAGATGAAAGCACCGTTATATAGGATAAAGCAGTTTTCATAATCTATGAAAAGTAAATAATGTTAATATTTGAACTTTTCTGTTAAAAATTAAAAAAAAAATCAAAAGGTTTATAGAATATTTGAGGTACCGCTAAGTATGTTTCCATGCCCATAGTCATCAGTCCGCCAGCTGTTAACATAGCAGGTTGCGTACATCGAAGCATGAAAAATTTCAGTAATATTTTGGTTCTTCTGGAACCTTTATACCATTCGTTATAGTAACTAAAATAAGAACAAAATTATTTTTCGCAATAATTATAATGTTATTCAAGTCTTTTTTTTCTCTTACGAATCTGAGAAAAGATCGGCACTGTAGTCGATTATCTTTTGTCCCGCTAAACATAGATAGAAAAGATGCATTGCCAATCCCAGATAAACCATTACCCATCTAATCAACTGTACAGTCTCATTCGCATTCATGATTATCTGGAAAAGGTGTAACATGAAACGAGTTAAAAATATCATATATTGACAAATTCATGATATAATATAATTATCTTACCATTATACATATCAAAGGGATGATGATAAGATTACATATCATTATTATAATAAAACAGGAAGAATACGCAGTTTCTAAAGTTATTGCAAATCTGTTTAAATAAAGTAACTAATATCAGTAAAATCTATGACTTGATTCGAGAATATTGTTTCCTATACCTTAAGCTAACTTGGTATAATTTAATCGTTTCTACCATCAGGTGATAGGAAACCTCATCATCTCCATTCTCGTCGCAACTTAAACCATTGGGACGTTGCAAGCGATATCTAAAATGAAAATGATCTCATCGAAAAATAAAATACATATTTGAATTATATTATCACAAGTCTTGAAATCTATATATTTTACATAAAAAATTAGTAAACTCGAATTGAGTTTTAACCTTTTAAGGACGGGGATTTTTACGTTAAAATTTGACTTTTTTTTGCACAATATTTGTGCATAAAATGAAAGAATATGTCACGTGGAGTGCCTGACAAAATTGGTGGTCGATATATCGACCAGTCCCGTCCTTAAAAGGTTAATAAAAGATATCTAAAATAATATATCGATGTATTAGATTATAAGCTACATTCTAATTTATCTCTAATATTATTTTCAATAACATTAAATGAAAATTTATAAATCTCTTGTTCAAAATTGAACCCAACTTAATTGCTATTTAATTAAAACAGTTGATTATTAAGTGAAATTCTTACTTGACAATAGTAAACAATCCCACACAATGTTCTACACAAACTGCAAATAAAGTATCCACCACTACGACAATCAAAGCGGTTACAGCTGTAGTTGCAAGATCCCAGGAATAACATTTCCAATAGTGATCTGATCTGTCTACTAAAAATTCAGCATTCGTTAAATGTAAAAGGGGTAACGGTTCTGCCGATGGTCTCAGCTTATTTATGACTACTGGTGTCAAAGGTAGAAATACAAATAATATAGTGCAACCAAACATGTATACTGAAAATTTGATAATTTTTAATAATTAAATTTTCTTTTAAATTCATTTTCAAAACGCGTCTTCTTTTTTGAAAATTAAAATACTTGACTTACAGAAGTAACCAATCGTAAGTTTTCTACCTCTTTCAGAATACTTTTTTAAAATATTTATTTCTTCTTCGTCGCGTATTGATTGCCAATTGATAACTACACCATTCAGCATTAATTTTATCTAAAAGAATTATATTTGTTTGCAATAATAAAACTTTTTACATTGAAGGATAATACCGCTAATTTCATACTTTTTCTTCAGTTATAAACACCGTAATTAGTTTTAATAAAACTACAAGGATGAACACAGCAAGACATCCATGTTCCATAAATCTATCAATATTCGATCGGTGAACCATCATACCTATGGCCTAAAAATATAACAATAGTTTTAATTATATTTAATCAGAAAGTAAATTAAAAACTGACATAACCACCCTGCCGTAGTATTTTTTCAATGATCATTATCAATAACACTTTCAATATATTCATGTCTTTAAAAATAAAGTTTTTAACCAAGTCACTGTAAATGTGAATCATCTCATAGTTTGAAAAAAAATGTAAATACGTAAAAAAATAAAAACTGAATTTTTTGATAGTGCCAATCGTAATTATCGTTCACAAAAAAATCTTTTCTTTTATATTCGATAAATTTAATTCTTATTATCGCCTTATCTTTATTGTTAAATGCATTATTATATACACGGGTAGTTAAAATTACGTACTCTACGTAAAATTCAAGAAAAAATTTAAAATACTTACGTGTGGTATAACAAATAGAATCATCGCAATGAAAGGCCACATTCTGATCAGATACTTCTTTTTTTTACAGTCAAACGGCCAAATTCCAAGCATTTTACAAAACGTTTTGTTATAGATAAAGTAGGAGCTATCATATATATCCATGTTTGAAAGGAAAATTTGATTAATTTTTTTATCGACTATTGTACAACTTCTCGGTAAAAGCATATTACTATGACTATACCTTTTTTCTTACGAGTCGTCTAGAGGTCGGATTTACATAGCGAATTATTAAGTACATCTTATTACCTTGAAGTAAAAGAAAATGTCATTATTGCAGAATGAACAGGGCCAGTCGGTATTCAAAAGTGAACATTGGAAGTTTTCTTTGTTGGCCTGTGAAAGCAATTTTAATAAAGATATCATAAAACTTTTTTTTCACCTTAAAGCACTCTGAATAAATTTAAATTTTCTTAGCTATAAGTTTTAAAATCAAGTGTCCTCCCAAAATAAACACCGTGCATGTACTCATATTTGTATCACTGTAATAATGAAAGATATTTAGCTACAAAATTACTTTTTTCATAAAAAAATCGTTTACAAAATTCAAAAAATAGCTCCGACACATGAAAAAATAAGTTTATTAAAAAAAATGTCCCATTAATTTTACAGTATAGATTCTAATGAAGAAAATGAGTCATTTAAAAGTGGTTTTATTGGGCGTATTGAGAATTGGAAAAATATAGCTAATAAAATGGAAACCTATTCTAGATAACTTCTAAGAAAGGCGAAAGAAGTTCTATCACGATATTTTTGAACAGTTTTCATGCTCCACCAAAGAAAAAGTTCGATGTTGCTCACTTTTAAAGATCAATTGGAGCTTTATTAGATATAATACTTTATATCAAGTCTAGATCATTTTTCCTAATCGCTAAGCAAGAAATTTGAAAGAAAAGGAGAGATACATATTTTGATTTGGTTAACTAACGAAACTAACCAATGTAAAGTACAATTGTCGAATTACAGTGCAACTAGCAAGACCACAAATTTACCATTCTCGTGACAAGAACGAAGTTACGTAGGCAAACCGCTGTAGTCTTTATTCAACTCTCGACACTCTCGGGAGTATCGAGTTTTAATGCAATTCTCCTCGTTAACCAAGTGATAATATAGTTTTCGCCTGTCTCTTCGCTGTAACGTAATATTCGTTGGCGCGCGCCTTATATTTTTTTGCTTGCAATTTAGTTATAACCACAGTGACGGTTTGATAGCAATTTTAAACGTCGTTTGGCAGGTGATTCAATGATACGATATTGTTGCGAATTTGATCTCAGTTTGCTAGTATTCGATCCAACGTATGTGTCTTTAAAAATCAATATAAAATATTTTTTTATCCGTACGCAACATCGTCATCAAATGACACATTAATTACGAAATTGCAAATTACGAGAAAAGCAAATCTACATTATTTTTATAAATTATAAGTAAACTTAAAAGCTCGCGGCGCGCATATATAAGAATCGAAATATTCTAAAAGTAGTTAAAAACACCAATCTTTATCGTTTCTTTTTCATCCTCTTCCAAATTTTCAAGTTCCAACAAAGTAAATGACGATGCGGCGAGAAGTATGGAACTTATTACACGCACCAATGGACGGGAAAATGTGTCGGTTTTTTGGATAGTTCCTGAGAGATTGTTTGTCCTTGTCTCGGGAGGGATGAGAAATTGGACGAGGGCTTGATAAGACTCTTTTGTCGTGATAAGATCCTAGGGTTTGATAATGGAATTTTTAATCCTACGTGGTATTTGTTTGGTGATTGGAGGGAAAACGCGAAATGACATTTTTTCCATCTCGGAGAATGATATCGTTATGCTGGGGCAATAATAAATTTTATTTTTTTTTATATATGCCGAATACTATGTTTATCCGCAAGCTGGAAATAGAAATTTAGTATAACTATGTAATTTGTAATTATAAAAAAGTGTTACACGAGTCGAATCGAAAACCGTTATACATGAAACTGAACACATGTATAACTGAGTTTTACCGAAAAATAGCGAAACTTTTGCGGAGTCGCTACTCGTATCAGCAGGCAAACCTTGCAGCATTCCCCATGAAAGTTCCCCGGCCAAAACATTCCCATTCAAACTGTTCGGCTCCCTGCGCAAAAGAAAAGATAGCCGCCACTATCGCGAGAGAATAACTTTCGGCCGTAAATCCCCTCCTCCTCCTCCGAAAATCTCCATAAAAGCTTCGCGCAGCAATAAAAAGCTTAGGATCAGCGGAAGCTAATTGCGCTGACAAAAGCGGGGGGATTTTTTTGCACGGGTAAAGCCGATAATTAGTCTTCAGACGAAATTGATTACCTTGCGCGCGTTCGCGGCTTCGTTAATGCAGGCGAGGCATGCGTGGACTAATGGATTTCGGATTAGAAGAGCGGCCTGCTGATCTTCAGCCTATCAACGCCTGCACAATGAAGCTTTGTGCTCGCGAGTGTTAAGCTCTTTGAGGTTTCAAGATTAATGGGACATGGCTGCGGTTTGAAGGTGTGTTTTTACACCTGATGATTCTAGAGGGCTGCGTTAATTGCCTTTACAGCAGGAGATTTTTCAAATTGTACGTTTCGTAACAAAAAAATATACTGTAATTTAAAACACAATATTTGAAATTGAAATGTTCTTTATTGTGTTAGTATATTTGTATGATTCACCGCTAGATTGCGTAGAGATTTTAGATTTCATTATTGTGAATAAACAATGTATAACATATATCATTTTGCACGGAGAAACATTTCTTAATAAATTAAAGTAACATCATTTCGATTTATGTTATGAATAATTAATGCAGAGAAACTTTTAAATACTGAATGCCATCAGCATTAATTATATTTCTATAAGTTAGTTTTTTAACTTTAATATAACTATTTTTAAATAATACATTGTCTTCACATCGTTCGAACTAAGTTTCTACGCGTGAATCTTTTAGTTACAAAAAACCTCTTAAAAGAAACGCGTATCGACAGGTCAAGCTTTAACTGATTTTGTTAATTAAAAACAACATAAAAAATTCTGCTGCAATCTATACCTTCTGCCTAATAACAATAATAATACTTCGTAATTAAGACCCAATTTCATTACATCGTCAAAACTCTTAAAACAACGAAAAACAACTAGACTCACTTCATAACTTAGTAAAGTCAACTAGAAACCAATCAAACAGCCATTCAAATTGCACTCGACGGTGAACATATATTTTTCTTTTATTCAGGGGCCAAACTTCGTCGTCGTCGATGTATGTGTGTGCGTGTGTGTGTCTGTGTGTGAATGCCTTAACGAACTCCATCGTGCAGTTGAATGCTCTGCACTGCGAGGCAAATTCTCGATCCTGGTAGGATTTATCCGTTGGTGAAACAATCAAGCGGGTTACCGCCTCGTGCCCCACACTCTGTCAATGATCGGCAGTTTTTGTTCGAGTGGGATTCAGCGACGGAGAATGTATGCTTCGCGTGCGGCAATTGTACGAGGCATCGTCATCGGCAATCCATCACGTTCGCGTGTCGATGTAATAATATTTCGTACGCCGTTCCGTTCGTCCCACCTGCGAACCTCTTATTTCCATTGAATGTATATGATTACGCGCTGTTAAGAATTACCGCACGTGGGAATTAATAGCTAAAGCCAACCCCGGCACACGCCGCCACGCATTTGCATATTGTTCGCCCAGCCGATAGCTTACAGGCGTAATGTAAAGGTTGTAGGTGGATCTGTACTCGTTATTTTTGATTTGTGGCGATGTTATGCTGGTTGTTTCATTTTCGTGGAACTATTGATCGTTAGGAGTAGAACGCACGGTGCTGAACCTATTGCTAAACGAATAGTGGATTTATAAATTAATCGTTGCTGTTTGAGTTATAGGCGCATTCAAACTGAATCAGTGTTCAAGTTGAATGTCTTTTCATCGAAAGCTCAAAGGTATTGGACTGTTCTTATACGAACCATTTTACAATTAGAATACGTTTTAGTTTGTTCATGTAATTTCATTCACCTCTCATTCACCTCTCCCGACAAATTCATGCACAAAAGTCTACATCGAAGAACGGACAAAGAAGCGTCAGATTAATTCAATAGTCGACTTTCCTCCTCCGAGACAATTAACATTACACGACCCCCATTATCCGCTCACTTTCTCTATAGACTTTTGATTTCAATTCTCTTTTTTCAGTTCACCCGCTACGATAGATTTGAATTTCCACGTTCGTTTCGTACACTCTTCTAACTCTTTTCAATCTCAAATAGTCATTCATTGAAGAGCAATGTCATATTCCAACCTTGCATGTACGAGTAAATTTTCCCAAACAAATGCACTTTTCGGTTGCACTTCAGAATTGCAAAACATTTTTTCAATCCTATTGCTTTGAAATAAGTTTTCTCTTGTTATTTAGCTATGACTATATCATTTAGGCCATTATAAAGAAAATTGAATATTGTAACATTGACGTAAAACAAAATACAATTTTCAAATTCATGTATTACTCGGCTTCTTGTATAAGTTTAGACAAGATTTTAAACTGCCACTATATAGAATGTATAGCGTATTTTAAAAATAATATTGAGTTGTCCTGGGATCTGGGATTTCAAATAAGTCAATGTCTACGCTATATTAGTCGTTTTGATTGACCGACGCACGATATGATTTTATTTGTTCAACATAAATAAGGGATACCAAAGATTATATTATTGCAAAATTATTATATGCTTTCGATGTATTTTTCTATGTAGAATCCGATGGTAGTAAGCCTACTTTACAAATGTTAGAAACGAATATCCACTAAAAAATCATTGACATAACCGGTTTTTTACTTGTGAATTTTCTATGATTTTTCGCTGAATAATGCTATGTAGCTGTAGAATTTTCAGATCAATATAATTTTTTAAATATAAAGTCTAATTTGTTAGATTAAACATGGTGTGTATTCTTTTTTTCTGTAATATAAGATTTAAAAAAATTAACTTCAATAAGTTAGCGCACTTTAAATACTGTGTATAAATATCTTGGTTCCTACTCTTGTTAATTGGAAACTTAATCTTGCTACGATATGTCAAATGCTTTCGGGTCACACTTCATAGAATAATAATATTGAAAAATTAAGTGCGTGCAGCCAGTGCATTTGGTAAGAGCACTATTTGAACATTCGAGAGAAACGGAGTTAAATTAATATTTTTTTAAGTGGAATTGTTAATACGGAAAATGCATCGATGTTATGTGAAAGTAGAATTTTTTCTTCTGGTAACATAACTACTTGCTCGCGCAATCCAAGTTTACGACCTGGTAACAAAGGTAAAGAAGTAGGTATGAAAACTAATAATTGCTCGAAGACTTAAGCGAAATTGCTGAATTATTCTTTGACAATTCCATTATCGTCGAGACAGGCAATTAGAAAAGTTAGTTGGAAATTGACCGATAGAGCCTTCATGGCTTACGCCACCAATGAAAACAGCCAAGAATTAAGCCGACCAAACAATGCGTTTTAAACTTGTGAGTGTAAAGCAGGACTGTATATTTATCAAGATAAAATGAATTAAAAAATTGAATGAATGCCTTGCCAGTCATAACCTGATGAAAATATGAACTTTACTGAAAAAAAATATTATTTCGTGTTACAGCATAGTCAATGAAAGAGAGAAAATCATTTTAAGTTTGTGCTGTCATAATAAATACTTATTATTTATACTTGCTTGCCTTTAGTGAATGATGCTGTTGCAATGATTATAGGATTTACAGTCAAATTTCTGCTTGGTATCTCACTTTTGAATTTCAGTAATAAAATTATACAGCCTTATTTGCCTACTAATGAAAATTTAGCATTCATCGAATTCAGCTTTATCTATCACAATACAACTACGAATAAACACCAGCCGCGAGTGTACGAATTATCGTATGATATCGCCAGAGTCATTTTGAATTTTCAACTAACGAGACAATTTTTTTACGGTGGCGTGGTATTCCCGGGGCTCATAAATACTGTTTGATACGTACACATTTCACGTGCAACGAATATGCTTTGGGCGATTTTATTGATTTCACGTATAGTAACGCTAATTACGTAATGGATAAATTTTTATCTGGAATCAGAATTATCTTACTAGTTCATACCTCGTTAGAGTTTTCTGAATGACTTGGTGATTTTTATACGTTAACCACGAAAAGGTTGTAGATTTATTTTCCACATACCGATTATAAATCTTCAGAATAAAGAATTCGAGCGTCGAGAAGTCAGCAAGTAAACTCTCAACAACTGCACTTTTCTCCCTCCTCGCCTGCTGTTGGCCCTTTTATACGCGAGTTTAAACGACTAATTAAAGAACATCGTACGAGAGCGAGGGCGCGATAAAACGTGATGAGTGCGTCGCGTCCCTTGGTACTTTAACTTGGCGATGGCGCCTGTGGACGGGGCGACCCGTCATGCTCGAAAGTGCACAACGTTGCTGCCGTACAGTGGCCTGTCGTAACGAGACAATTGTATTTTTCTTTTGTTTTCTTTCCGAATTGAAACTGTTTGCTTTGCTGTCGTGCGTGTAATTTCGCTGCTGCTGGCGATAGAGGGAGAGAGGACAACTCTCTAGACACTTGCCGCAGCAGCTGCGGAATTCAATGCAATTTTCGGCCGAGCGTAGCTGTTTTCGTGAAAATTTCAAAAAACGAATTGCGCTCGACGGGGCGTTGTTCGTGTTTTCGGAAAGAGCGCGCGCTCGGGATTTTTGTTTTTCCCCTGTTGAATATTTTCGCTAACGACCGCGTACTCTCAATGGAAATGCAATCAACGCGCATGTAGTTTTGTTTCAGTACTTTCGGTTTGGAAACAGTAAGGCTTTTATTTATTTATTTGTTTTTTTGTTGAGAAAACACGAGTCTAATTTGACGAAAAATAGCGAGCCTGCAAGCTGACCTCTCCCGAACCATTTCCTACCTGAAAAAGAACGAAATAAAGTAAATTGAACAATATAAAATGAAATGAAAATAAATATCTCTATCTAACGAGCGCTTGAACGGGTGTATTTGCAGAGGTCGAGGATCGACCGGCGGGAAAGGCACGTGGTGGCAAGCTAGCGCGTCGAGCGCGCTCCTTCAAGGAAGACTTCCTGGAGAAGCTGTCGCAGATGCGTTCGCCGGGTGCCAGTGGCGCGGCTGGTGGCGGTGGCGGAGGCGGCGGCGGTGGTGGGGGTACGAGAGCCTCGTCGCCGTCATCACCAGCCGCTGCAACGCAACACCAACAGCAGCAGCAGCAGCAGCAGCAGCAGCAACAACAACAATTGACCACCTCGTCGTCGATGGGTTCAGAGTCACTCGACAAGAGTCCACTGCGCGATCTTCATGTACACGTGAGGCAGGTGCAATTGGCATTGTTACATTTACGAGATGTCGTTAGTAAGAATAAACTGGAGATGCTACCGGGCAATGGGACAATTGTACTGGACACCGTTACGACTATACACACGCTGCTCAAGTCTTATCTGCTGTATGAAAATAGGTGAGTTGTTTCTTGCGTCTTTTTCTATTGTTTCCGATTTACATTTCCATGTCGTTCGTACTTTGTCTTCGATGTCGATGCAGCTAGATTTGTTTGCTTTATTGCTATATCCACAACGTTTCGTTGATAAAACTCTGATGGGAAAAGTACAGAGAGAAATTGTCTCGATTTTTTATTATTTTCCACGTTTTGCGAGTTTTTCCGTAATCAATTCTGCTTACACGTATTTTATACGCAATTTCAAGCTGGCAGTGCGGCTGTTTTATTCATTTCACCTGTCTATGTATTTTCGATCTAGTAAACAAAGACATAAATAAAAATAAATTGTCAACGCAACCAAATTATTTGACATATGGGCAATTCTCAGAGTTTTTACTTTTGTGTCACTCTGCGATATTTCTGTTAGAGGACTGTTTTCTATGAATGGCAGATAAGAAATCTTATTGTATATGTTGTGTAGATTATGTATATACAGAAAAAAATGACCCCGCTTTGGATTATGAGTTGAAAATACGCATAATGTAAAAAAAAGTAGGATAATTTACGTTTGAAGTTGTATTTGAATGTCACTTTCTCATTCTGCTCTTTTTTTCATACTGTAAAATTTGATGCGTAATCAAACACATTCAAGTCAGTAATGGATTGAAAGTACTTGAATAGTAGAATCAATGTTGCGTAGAAATAATGTGGTGAATGTAAGCAGTGTCACAACTTTTTCAAACTATTAGAATCCATGGGTTTTATTGAGTATAGTAAGCGGTGCGCACCTTAAATGACTATTAGGTACTAATTTATAAAAAATCAGTGTGTGCACGACATTTTTCAATAGCACATCGATTGTTGGTTGAAATTCTCGTTAGATACAAATGTACACTAATGTTTACTACATTGTTGGATGGTAGTTCACTCGTGCTTTTTTTTTAGCGATTATTAAATAAGTTACGGCACGGAAAGCAAATGAGAATTATCGATGAGAATAATACTACGTGCGCTAGGTGTGCTTTTCGGGTAAAACTTTATTGTAAACGGCAACATGTACTGAAAACATACAAAATAGAGAATATTATATCAAGAAAGATACGGTATAAGCTCAAAGTTTGAATTTAGAAACTTCTTTTCCGCAGTACCATTGAAACGATTATCCCGACGTGTCGGTATCAATGCAATAGTATACATTTTTCTGAAAAAAATATATACTTTTATGATGTTTATCGTTGTTCATTTAGTTATTTATTGACGTTTCTATGATTTTCGTATGTATGTTTCAAGAAAATGTCAAAAATTACAACAACAAAAAATAACATTCCAAAAACTTTTAGAACGTTTGGTGCGTTGCTTTAAAACGTTGCACCACATTAGATATAATACTCTGAGAGCTAATAGAACGTGTGATCAAAATTTCAGACTCAATAATTTGAAAAAAAAAAAAAAAAAAAAAAAGAAATTTATGCACGAGCAGGTTTAAGGTTTCTGAGAAATGCTCATATCACCAGAGGAATACTACAATTGAAATATTTGAAAACCAGAACATAAATAATGAAAAATGAAAGAACTTCAGTAATCTATCTTTAAAATAATGCAAAACACGAAAAACTTGGTCTTGTAATTTCAGTTCGACACTAGGCTCGGCGACGAATCAAGTTTACCAAGCATTAGCGCAACTATTGAAACTCTGCGACGACGTGTTGCTACAAGGAGACCAGTCATCGTCTCTCGATACAGCCAACGTGGCACACGTCATAGGTCTCGTCGAGGACGCCGTAAAGAATCTCGTGGAACTTGCTCAAGAGAAGATTTCCAACAAGCAGAAGCCGGCTTTGCAAACTCCCAGTAATAGGTAAGACTTCTTAATGATGAGCGAGACTAATGCTCTCTTTGACTTGTGAGATTACACCTGTATAAATTGTCGCGTCCTTTCTAGACTGTTTGAGCTGAGGGATTTTTTTTTGCATTCTTTATCTCTCATCTAAATTTTCGATCGACGAATCACATGAAAATCGTTACCTGCAGGACATCGGGCTACAGTTCAGAGTTGACACCCCAGCGCAACTCGTTGCCTGACATACCGCTCACGCCACGGGAACGCGAGGTCCTCGAACAGTCAGCCGCCTCGAGTGCTCTGGTCAGAAGCTCCCACAGCTCAGAATCCATCCTTAGGGACTCTAGCCCACCGCCAAAGCCACCCTTGCCTGATAGGTATACCGCGTCACTGATTTTTCACTTATTCGACTGAGTTAGAGTTAAGTGTTCGCCAAATTGAGTTTTCGTTTAAGAGGACACTTATGTAACGTAATGATATTGTTTTTTTTTTTTTCAAATAGTTTTCAAGCGGATTAGAAGAGCGACCACTTTTTATTCTTAAAGTCATCAATATACAAATGAACACTTTTAACGCTCGATAGATTTTGAACTAAGCTACGTTTCAAATCAGTTGAAAGCACGAAGAGAATAGAATTTTCCTTGTAACTATTCGTTAATGCAATTAACGTTCATCTTTTAAAAATGACGATAATTACACATTGTTGTTTTCAATACAATTTTCAATGTAATTAATAATATAACATGAATAAAAATATTTCATTTTTTTCACATTGAAATGCACGGTATTATGAGCATTCAGCATTTTTGTTGGCGTCAAGCTTTAAATAAGAAACTTAAGTAATGCGTAGCAAAATAATTTCATAATAAGATAAATATAAATTCGGAACGGGCAAAATCATCAATAATGTGCTCCACCTGTCAATTACTTTTCTACTTTATTAATTGTCACTGCTAAAAAAACTTGCCTTCTTCCAGAACATTATGCCTTTCGGGAGACAACAACAGCTCACCAGGTGGCACGCCACCACCTCTACCACCGAAACGTCGAATACGAACCCAACAGTTGCTGTCGGACGAGCGTGATTTCGCAGGCGATGCAAGCGTTTTGGCATCGAGTCTCGACAGAGTATCGCTACGAAGTCGTTCACCCGAGGATTCCTCATCGCTACTCAGCGCCTCGGCCGGAAGTTTGGACTCGGCGTTAAATCATTCTCGCGACGAGGAAGAGATACGCGCCATAATGGGACCCAACGATGAGTCTTTTAGTGATAGCATGGATCTTAGCCTCATGGCCACCATTCGCGGTAATAATCATCAACGATATGTAGAACGACGATTGTAAAATAAGATAACAGTTTGTCAAAAGAATATTGCCGCGATAATGTTGAATAGATTTTCACTCCTTTTTTAATTATTTACTTGCATTTATTTAAGTTTGGTAATACTGTTGGACTGGCATTTTTCTGGCAAAACTGGAATTCAGAACGTGTATGTTTGAGCTTTGTTGATTCATGTAATTGCTAATTCGTGTTATATTTTTATTTCTTCAGCGATCGTGGAATGTATAAAAGATATTCAGTTTCACGAGTCTTGTCCACTACGGTTCTCAGATATTTGATTTCACTTAGCATATTGCACATCGCTACGTGCGGAAGAGATAATTCATAGAAAACTATTCATACTCTCGGTGTATTCAATGGAATTAATTATAAAATAACACGAGGTTATTGTTTAACGATTTTTACAAACAAATGTATATTCATACATTGTTTTAAATTATTCTTCTGCTTTAATATGAATAAGAATGTATCTATAATAAATTACTCTCGCGTCATCAAAGCTCAATCGTATTACTAGCAACAAATTTTACAAATTGATAAATAGAAAAGAAGCAGTTGCTTGTTTTGTTTATCGTGCCCAAAGTATAAGAGTGGTTAGACGTCGAATAAGGAATGTCCGCAAAACCGGATAAGTGTCCTTAGTGCGTTAATCAGCCGGCGTCTCGCGCGTTATGGCGATGTGTGTTCTTTTGCGGGATTACGCAAAAACCCATCCATATGTGTGTCCATAGTATATATAGTGTGTATATAAGTGTTACTCAGCGCCGCCGCTGCTACTAGCTTGGCTTCTTGTGTTCTAATATCTTTCTCTCTTTAGTCGAGTCGTACTTTTGCTTGGTGACGGTTGCGTCGCGCATATTTCTTTTTGTGTTCTCTTGTCAGTTTTTTTATTACTTGGATCATTTGATAGATTAACAAGCTGCATCATGGATGATCAACGCTTTTGGTTCTCTGAGTTTACCAAGCCCTTTCACTTTAAGTTCGATCAACGTACGTATTTTGATTTTCTGTTTCTTTCGGAAAACCGGGAAAGAATAGTTTTTCATTCTATTTACTTGTTTTGAAAAATGTTTTTTGATTAATTTACCAATTTACATAATGCTGCTTTATTAATCGACACATCAAAAGCAATAAATCATGATATATTATTAATTATAAGTAATTTCGGTATATTGAAGGAGGAAAAATATTTAATTTGTCTTTATATTCGACATTCGCGTAGTTGCTCAATGCATTATCTTGTTTGTCTTACAAATTTGATAAGAATTGTTTTCTTTTTTAAAATGCGATATATAATAATGCATACGTATTATTTCTTGAAAAATTTGATTAATAATGTGCAAAATTGCCTAATATTTTGCTATGACATACTTATAGAATTTATCTAGTTGGTGTGCAGATAATTATGCACGGTTTTTTGTATACACAAACTATTTTGCACAACAATATGGCACGAATCAGCGTATATAAATTTTTACACTATTTTACTGTGCACAATAATTTATATGTATAATAAATCGAACACATTTGTCTGCACGTTTGAAGGTTTAATGTGATTTTGGCATTTTTTTTTAATTATTGCCTTTTTAATGATCTTATTGTAAGATTGATATATTTTTTTCTGTAAAGTTCAATAACTGGTAATGAGTAATTAAAAATAGTGCATTTTATATATTATAAGCTCGTAGATAATATATCCGAAATTTAAATGAATATCGTCTTTTATTCAACAGTATTCCACGGTAAAGAAAAACACTGACAGCGTACTAAATAAAATTGTCTTGTTTCTTTTGTCAGGCATGCAAGTTAACGGAAGCTCACACTGTGGCTGTTGGGACGGTACGGAGAGTAGTCTACCAAGTACAATGATGCTGGGTCAGCAGAGCTCTCAGGAAGTGCTCGGTCAGTTTACCGGTGAGTGTCGCATTCGCACACAGCGGTGGGTATTTAGATAAAAGAAAAAATTAAGTACATAGAGTTGGATAAAGCGTTGAACTTTGAAATCTTGGCACTGTTCCCTGTATTTTGTTATTATCCAGATCATTGACCGGTACGCGCGCACTTTGCCAGATTTGACGTTTGTTTGCTTCTTCGCGTGGATATGATGGAAATTTTAATAGCGAGCTTGTTTTCGATCGGGTGATTGATTGCCGTTTGGAAAATCTGCTCGTTGCTGCTTGAAAAGGAAAATTTGAAAATGTATCTCTTGTACGGGATATGGAAAAGTGATTGTGAATTCTTATGCGTTTTGATTTCAAACTTTTTTTCATACGACTGTCAAATTATTTTTAGACTGCATCAACTATTTTTTATTGTTATTTTCGTTGGCCACATCTCTGATGACTTCATTTTAAGAACACCTCATAAACAAATTTTTGATTCTTCATTTAGTATACCCGTATATACATTTTCTTATCCCATTGAATCTTAAAATATTGAAATGACAAACAAATTACTCTTTCAAGGATAAAAATACCGAATTTAAGGAACGCACATACTCGATTTAGTTAGAAAAAAAAGAAATATATTCTCGACACACATCTAAAAGCCATGGCGCGTATAATCGCGTCATTCACTACAGCTGCAACTCAAATGAAACCCAACACTATTTACAGTCTTGTCTCGATTAAAGCGCTCTCTCTGTCAGTCGATTAACCAGCTTCTCAATCGTCACTCGCCTATATATACGCACACAAAAAAGAGAGTGTGCATCTCATACGCTTTTTTCTTCTCGAACCATTGCACAACGCAACGACGTGTAAATATAGTCGCGTGGGCGACTCGCCAGAGTTAAGCAGCCGCATGAATGGGAGTCAGTCGTTCGCGCGCATGCATAAGTAATCGACGCGTCGCCACTGCTTCGTACACTTCTTATCATTATGGCCAAGAAGTCACTCTCACCCTGGGACAGCTTCAAAGCTTGGTTATGTGAGTCGTACGCAATAACGCGAAAACTTCCGCCAGAAATTCAAAGAGATTTATGTGCCTTGAGCTTGCTAATAGTGCACGTTAGTTTTCATATAAGATAAAAGCTCTATGTGTGCTGTTGGCAGCTATGACTTAAGCGTGTCAATGCTTACATAAATTAGATGTTTACTGTATTTATCTGCGATTTATTAGTTAATGGATACCCGCTCGCTAATGCCTCTATAATTTTGCATTCCAATATTCTAATTGATTAACTTTTCTAATGTTGTGATTGAATATTATTGAGATTACACTGTGATCTAGGCTGTTTAATAACATATTATCATTCAAATTTGTTCATGATCGAATAATTTCTTTGCGAATTCCAGTTAAAATATTAAATGTCTAATTCGTAAAAATGACTACAACGAAAATGAGTGTTCTATTATTAGCGGGAGAAAAAGTATTCGATGCCGATAAACGCGCATTAAAATTTAGCAAGTGAAAATAACACACAGAGAGCGTCATCAATCATACTGGCAAGCAGCTCCACACAAATCACGTCCCAAAAATATAATATGATTTCCTTTCACCAAACGTGGTTTCGTAATGTAGGTCGCTGCTGCCACTTTCCAACCCTTCGCGACGACGAGTATTTAATATACTTAAAGATCTTTTAATAGAGTCCTAACCAACGCTTTAAATGTTCCAGGCATCGAGGCGAAGATGGAACGTCTCTCGACGCAGACACAAGAATCGGGGTTCGTGTCGATGCATTCGCAGCGATCGTCATCGCAAAGTTATACTTCCACGATTAAACGATCGTCCCAACAAAGATTCTCGGCCGGTGAAACGATGACGAGTAATGGATCGGTCGTTAGTCACAAAACTACTACGATGACGAGTTCTAGGAGTCTTCATAGTGCTACCAATATGAGTGGCGATCCGTCCTTCATGGAAAAATTGGTATATGTGGGTGTTGCATGCTTTGCTGTTTTTAATTTTACTTCTTTTTATTATTAATCTTTTTAATTAAAAACTTTTTTGTTTACTTTTGATTTCTGTCAATAATTATTATTTCTATTTCATTGGTTTTAAAATTGTGTGTTATTTTCGTGATAATTTTGTATGACCTCTTTACTGTACCGATAATTAATTTTTCCAGCATTTAACATGAGTTTTGTATCTCACGTATAATAATAATTCATGTTTTCCATGGAAAACATAAATACACTGATTTATATCTTTATTTGCAGGAAATCGAAGCATTGGCAAACTCGGACAATGCTGAAATTCCACCAACCCTGCCGGAAAAGCGCTCGCGTCGACGAAAAGAGCGTCTGCCATCGCAATACGACAACGTGCCAGAGAATGAGCATTTATCGACTTGCAGTTTGCATACTAGTAACGGCAATAGTCCAATCGACAACAACAGACCACCACCGCTACCAATGAAAAAGAGGCACAGTAAGTTTGATATTCCTCTTGTTCTTCCTTCGTTTAATGCCAAAAAATCGCTTTGCAAATGCCAATGTCTTTATATATACTCGACGGCAAATTTTTTTGCGGGTTCGATGTGATGATGTCTTGCGATTATCGAATTTCGTTCGATGATTTTTTATAAAATCAGTGAACGAGATATCGCCAAATACTGGTTACAAAGAGAAAATAAAATTCTTTCGGGTATTTTTTTCTTCTCTTCATGGATGTTGCTTTTTTGGTCGATCGAGTATTAACAGCTTTTACGAAAAAAAAAAAAAAACGAATCTGGCAATGATAATAATATTCATATATATTGACTATCTTTTTCCTTAATTCTGTCTGCAATATGATTTTGAAACTGATGCAATGTTTTGTTGTCCTCCAGTGTTCCAATCTGTGGCATATTCTGGTAAGTGGGATTTTCGCCCACACAAACTCTACCAATCCTCGGCAAATATACTCACACGCTAAGTTGCATTTCCGACGATCATAACATTTTTTCATATTGTTCTAGTTTATTTTTTCTTACATTATCAGCTTTTTACATGGCATGTTTTACTGTTTCGTTATTATCGATATTTTGATTTTGGGATTCATTCATTATAGTATTGGCTTTCACATTTTTTCAAATATTTTTTCTTACACATAATTTTTACATCGTGCAACTGCTATTTTTATACTTCGTCGCTGTTTTGGTCACTTTATTATGTGACAATATTTTATAGCCAATGCTTATGCTTTTCTATACAATATAACACTGATATTTGTTTTCTTACCAAATAACTTTTTTTTTAAATCACAAACCAATCAATTTTTTTTAGTTTACAAATAAAAATGCACTTAAAAATTCGTCATTTCATTTGTAATCGATATTCATTCTGAATATCTAACTCTACACTGTCAGCCAAACAAACTAATTCTAAAAGTGTAAAATATAAAATAATTGAATCAGGGCGTCACGATGTAGCACGAAAAACATCACACACACGTAATTATCTCATCATCAAATTGACCTTTCCGTCTTGCCTAATTGTTATTGCTCGTACATTCGTACTGAAGCCGCGCGTTGCAACGTCTGTCTTTTTTTTTGTGTACGTCCTCGCTCGCTCTTGTGTAACTTCTAGTGCCGCTGCAAAGATGCTTTTCTTCAAGATGCACGTCGCATTCCAGTAAGTTTTCACGCGTTGCTGTGTGCGTGTAGCAGTGTGTGGATAAAGGTGTGACGCAGTTTTAAAAGTGTGCGCTTATTTAAGTTCTTTTATTTTTTGACTGAAAATTGTATAATTTTGGGATTTTTTATTTTATTTTGGATCAGTAAATTGATCTCTTCGTGGACGTGTAAATAAACTATTATAATTTACTTGTTTAAAGTTTTTACTCATTTTTACATGTAAGAAGACAATAAATTGTCTGTTCGCTTAAATCACAGCCTGTTGATTAATGTACGACGTACTAACAATTTTTCTCTTGCACATTTTATCTCAAACGAAGTCTTCATCGTTATCTAAAAACACAGTTCAGCAAAAAACTGATTATTCACCAATTACTACATCAATTATTTGCAATAAGTACAAATATATCACTTCGATCTTCACTTTTTTGGTTTTCATTTGATAATTACACCAACACGAGTCAACAACAATACGAGATAATATTGACGTCAACCACTAAATTAATATAGTTAATGTTTTATTTCAATTTATATGATTTAGCTTCTTTTGAATATATCAACACCACCAGAGAGAAACCACAAAAGTAGTTTATTGTGCCTATTGAAGCTTTTGCTAATCAATTGTACTCACATTATTTCATTTCGTTTCTTTTAGTAATGGCGTATATGGAAATGTTTGGCAACTGCTCGCACACGAGTAACGAATTCATCTCGGGTCTGGGTACCAGGCACTCAGTTGCTGCATATAATTCTATGCAGGCAGAGTGGCAGCAGCATGAGATGGCACTCACTACCACACAGTCTTGCTCTTTTATGAGCCATTCGATGCACGCAAGTTTGCATGATACCTCTGGGTAAATTATTAAAATATTACCCATTATTTTTAGAAATATGCAATTTTTAATGAATATTATGTTTTTGGATTTTCAGTCACATGTTTTCAATGGCACCAACAATAAGGGAACTGGCAAACGAGCCTAGTCAACCACCAGCATTACCGCCTAAAAAATCGCGTACATTGAAGCCAACTGCTACGCCGCCACCAATTTCACCAAAATCCTTGACAACTAGTGTACAAAATGTTCATTTAGATCCAGTTCTTACCTCGACTCCTGTAAAAAGCGAAGAGTCACTTGTACATACGCCGGTTATAATCGAGAAGAAGGAGATTATACCTACGAATAATGTAACACTGGTTAGTATCATATTAAATAATAAAATAATGCTCAGATTTTCTTTGTTGTAAAATTAGTGATTGGCAGTATTTTTGCTTAAAATAATGTGTGCACAATTTGTTTATAGAACAACAATTTGAATCTAGAGACATCGTCAAGACCATCTAGTAAAGCTCCATCAAGTCTCTCTATAGATGACAGTTCATTGGAATTGCGTGATGTCGAACCGGATAGCAGCATGTTAGACGAATTAGAAATAAACAAATATTTAGTTATTAAGAAACCAGAAGAGGAGGGACCTGATATTAGAGGGGGACATCCGGATGCTCTACTTATTCATGCTACGAAAGCAAATAAACATGGTACGAATAATTATGTATTATACTTCCTAGAAACATTTGGGATATTGCATGAAGTTTTTATAGTTTGACAAATTCCTAGATATTCGTTTATTTTTAATTTAGAGAGATTGTTTAGATTGGAAATTAATTCTTATCGTAGTTTATTAATTACTATTGTATATCGAAACTATTTGTTGATATTTGAATTGTTTCGTGCTCTGTAAATATATTGCTAATTGAATAGTCGATTGTATAACAAACTAGATCGACTATTTCATAATTTTTATAGAAAAAACCGACTTTAATAATCAGTAGAGATTTCATGCAAATTTCCAAAATCATATTCATCATGCATTCATGATAGAGTCTAGATATCACACGCATATTAATAACTTCACTCTTCATTTCTTTTCCAACCTGCATTAGATGAAAAAGAATCAGGTTAGTAGATTAGTTATTATAGAGTAGTTTATCATATTTGCGTCATACTCAATTACAGAATATTTATTAATACGATTATTCAATATTTATAGATTTCCTGTATCAAGAAGCATTCTTGACGACGTATAGAACGTTCATGTCGCCTTTAGAATTGATCAAAAAGTTGCATAGGCGGCATCAACGGTTCTCTTGTTCACCCGATGTGGTTAAGCAACGAGCTGCTAGAGAAGCTTTTTCTCTATTGGTCAGAGTTGTTAGCGACTTAACGTAAGTTGAAAAATAAATCAAAAACTATTCAATAAATAAAATTATATTTTCTTGACTTCATTTGTATGATATCGTAGCATATCCGATCTTGATGACATGCTGATGCAAACCCTCATGGAGTTCGTCCAGCAGCTGGTATGCAGTGGCGACTTAACGATGGCCAAAGCCTTACGAGTCAAGATCTTGGAGAAACACACAGCTAAGCAACAGCAAACAGTTCAACCAATACTCTCTACACTCAGCGTTTCAACCAAGCAAGCCTCGCTGTTAGATTTTAAAAGCGAGCAAATTGCAGAACAAATGACTCTTTTAGATGCTGAATTATTCATAAAGATTGAGATACCTGAAGTGCTTATTTGGGCACAAGAGCAGAATGAAGAGCGAAGTCCAAATCTTACGCGATTTACTGAGCATTTCAATAAAATGTCATATTGGGCACGTTCACGGATACTAGAACACCGGATGGAAAATGAAGCAAAGGATAGAGAGAAATTGGTTGTAAAGTTCATCAAAATAATGAAGCATTTAAGAAAGATCAACAACTTTAATAGTTACTTGGCATTACTATCGGCACTTGACAGTGCACCGATTAGAAGATTAGAGTGGCAGAAACATATCACGGAAGGACTAAAAGAGTATTGCGCATTAATCGACAGCTCTAGCAGCTTCAGAGCTTATCGGCAAGCTTTAGCTGAGACTCAGCCACCATGTATACCTTATATGTATGTCATCATTATTTTAGTTCGTTTCAAGTTGTTAAAATGAAATTAATAGTTAATTTGATTTCTCTTTTTTTAGTGGTCTTGTTCTTCAAGACTTGACTTTCGTACACATTGGAAATAGCGATTTGTTACCTGACAGTAGCATTAACTTCTCAAAACGATGGCAGCAATTTAATATTGTAGAAAATATGAAGAGGTTTAAGAAATGGTAAATGTTTAAGTAAAAAAATATGCCTCACACATTTAAAATGCGTTCTGATGGTTTTTTTTATTTACAGTACATATAATTTCAAAAAGAATGAGCGAATAATTGCATTCTTCAACAACTTTAGTGATTTTCTATGTGAAGAGGCGATGTGGCAAATTTCAGAGAGTATCAAACCACGTGGCGGGAAGAAGCCTCAATCACAGAATTAACGTAAATTTATCCATTATTAGTTCTTGCTTTCTCGGGAATCGATGATCGGAGTATCGTTCAAATGGTACAAAGAAATTTGAGAATAAGCAAGTTGTTTAAAAAAGCAACCTCCGTGAGGTGTTAAGTAATTTGTATACCTTGTACACAATTTCAAGTAGACAAAGCGTTTGTAACATATAATAATTCTTTACAATCAAAACTTCAAAAAAATTACAATATAATATCGAACTTCCTGTGTTGTGATAAATAGACGAAAATGACAAGGTGATCGAAACGCCGAAATGATCGTTATATCTTGTGTAAATGCGTAACCAAGATACAAAAAAATAATACAAGTAGCGATGTAAAAATGAAATTTCCGTCGTCTGAAAAAATTAAAAATTTGAGGCGTAATTATTTTATGCTTTAATTCCGCTTAGCGTGTGTAATGCATCGGAACAGAGTAATGGTACTCTGAAAAAATAAATATTAGAGCTAAATTTGCTTAGGCATCGTAGACAAGTATTTATTTGTTTCATCGACGTATGTATAATGTGTATAGAGAGAGAAAAAAAAGGAAAAAATTAGAAAAGGAATTTTTTATTTACGTTGATTTAGGGCATATTAGTTACAAAAAAATATGCCTGTTTATCTAGCTTTATGTAGATAGATGCATTTTCAATAGTCAACAGCGGAACTGTTGATTAAACAAGGATGAACACCAATTACGTTGATTAAATGTATAGTTTCGTGTCTACGCTTTCATCTACGCGTAAGACAACGGGGCACATGATGTGACTGAAAGCGAACAAAATAATACACACTCACACATATAAATAAATAAATAAACAAATACAAAATATTGAGTAAATAACGTTGCCGTACTATTGTACGTCGCAGGTTTTGTTGGGATATTACAAACACTTGTTAGTAGTTGTTCAAGCTTTCAGCTTTACATCGATTTGCTATCTAGGCGAATGTAATAGTAATAAATTTAAATGTAAATCAATCGTATGTATTAGATAACAATTTGGTTTTTTGAAACCATTAAAGCAGTTTTTATAGTTAATGAAAAATTACATACTTGGTGCTGTTAATAGTTGTGTCGTAGTTGCTTTCATGAAGAATAAAATGTTATTTTCTACGTACTGCTTTTGCCAAAACGAACAACAAAATGAGACGACGATTAATTTCATGATGATAAGAAAAATATTCAATTTTATAAAAAAAAAAACTTAGGTTTTTGAATGTATATTTATTGCTTTGAGCGTTGCATAAAACTATGGATCTTTGAATTTAATATGTGTGCGATTAAATGTGAATAAAAAATGACTGAGAATACAGGAATACACTCAAGCAATTAAAAATAAGTTTAAGAATGCTTACATCGAAATATAAATTTTCATGTGAATTTACGATAAAAGTCTGTTGAGTGTGTTAACGCCATATGGTGACAATTGGTTTTGCAAGATAAAATAAAGTCTCCGTGCGAGCGCTGATGTGATGTAAGCTATCTAAGGTTTTCTGAAATTGATTACGAAACAATTTACAAATTATAAATTGTCATTTAATTTCGACATAATACTAGTCATAGTGAGTAGTAGCAATCGTTTCAACCCTCGCATGTGAGTTACGAAAAATAAATTTTAAAAATATGGCCTAGAGTGACCAATCTGTAAAGCAATCCGACCATATCTTGCATTGAAAATTATTCAAACATACCACCTACACCAATGTATTTTTGTAAACCTAAATTTTAGCCCTTCCAATGTTTCTAAAAATACTTTTACAGGCTCTACTTACACGTGAAGATCATTGATAAGGTATTTGAAAATTCACCTTGTAACATCAAAATATAATCACTTACAAAATCCTGTATCGGGCACATATAAGTACTAAGATATTTTGAGCAAACTAATGTTTTTGAAGTGATAGTTTTGAAAGAATATGTGTGAGACGTGCATGGATCAATAAAAAGAATGCAGACAGCGCAAATGTCTGAAATTATTGCATAGATTATTACTAAAACAAATTGTAAATAAAATTAGCCGGTTCAACTTGTTTCTCGTATTGCTATAATATTTATTACTTATAACTGTTGTGTGTGTGTGTGTGCGTGCGTGCGTGCGTGCGTGCGTGCGTCTGTTATATCTATGTATATGTAAAGATATCGATTCCAAATCACACTTTGCATTGTTTTTAGATAATTTACACTGTCCACGCGATGCCATACTTTCTACATCATAGTCACGTTTATACAAGGTTTATATTATTTTTATTTGACATAAAACTTTAAATTAAAAATACATATTACGTTATGCATTTTATAATTATTATTTACATCAACATATTTTTATTATTACTATTTTTACTCCATAGTAGGAAATTTCTGTCTGTAGCAAAACCACATTCCTAATAATGATGCATTTTAAATGTAACCACTTCTGAAATATTATCTGTACTAATATTTTTATTGAATCAAACTCTTAAAAAAATCAAATGAATGTTTTAAATATTCTTACAATTTCTGATATAAAATGTTAAAAACGTAGATGCTGTAGTATTTTAAAGAGTGCAATTTAACAAGTCTTCCAATAATCTTGTTCAACAAAGCCTCATATACCTTGATTTAATGATATATTTTATATTTTATTTTTGACCAAATAAAAACTTTTAAACGACTGATTACTTCAAATGATTTTTTATAATCTTAATATGTAATGAAAATATATTAAAGTATTTTATAAAAAAAATGTTTTCATGTATCTTCATCAGTGTTGTGGAAGTAAATAAAAGCACAATGTTTCAACACGATAGCCACTTTTGTAGACATTTAGATATCTTCATAATTTCAATATTTCAATGCACAGACAGAATTTTTCCCTCAAAAAATTAACTTCTATTAATAATGTACTACTGCAAAAACAGCTATAATACTTAAAACTAATCACGAGTGAGATTAACAAAACAGTGAATGTGCAACGAAATAAAATTGTATAAATAATTAATAAAAAAAAATAATTGTATAAAAAATGAACTATTATACTCGGTGAAATCGTTTATAGGTAGATAGGCAAGGCAAATAAGAAGAAAGTATCAAGCGAATGTGATCCCGTTCCCATAACCACGCTGATTCCTTAAAAAGAAAAATATATATAGAATTCGTGTGTACACCGTAAAAAATCGATGTTTTTCTATTTCTTCAGCTTAATGTATGTGCTTTTCTGGGAAAAGTCATTTATAAAGGATTTAATATGTATGCGCATGTAGTCTCCAAGATTGCATCGTTTAGAAGCAATCGAGGAAAAAATTGGTGTTCCAATATCAATTAATAGATAACAATTTTTAACATTACAAACATCTCGGACATTCATACAGAACTTATACAAGTAGTTTGTATCTATACCGCCAGGTGCTGCACCACTGCATTTAAGGCAAGAAAATCATTGATCATATTTTTATAATTGAAGTATAAAATTTTTAAAATTATTTCTATACACAAAAGAAATGCTGAAATGTGACATCAATTATGTTATAATATTGAGATTTTTATAACTTACTAATTTTCTTGACTTAATATAATTAATATAATTATGTCAATGTTAGTGACGGATCATCAAATGATATTTAAAAATGTACTTGCGTTGAGTCTGAAAATATTTTGTTTATGTAGCCGTATTACAATTTAATTTGAACAAATAAAAAAATAGTAGTTACTTAAGAGTCAACATCATTTATTTGTCGCTATATGTAACTTCTCGCACAAACCAATCAACGCTCATACAACGTGTTAAGTAAAGAACTAATATGCAAATAGACCAGACAACTGTCAGCAATTAACGCAAATAACGCTGTTCTAGCAAATTTTTATCGAACAAAAAAGAAAAAAAATAGGTGTATACTCTTAGAGTTGTAGCGACTGAAAAACTAATTCAAATCGTAGGATCGACAGAAACGTATCCATTTACTAAACGATGTTAAACAAAACTAAGCTGTAAGAGAATATATGATCTCACGCAAGCACTTGAAACGTTTTTGCATCAACAAATCAAAAAAGAAACTAAACATCTTTTATGTTAATTCAAATGAAACATTGTACGGGTATGACGATCACACATAGTTTTTTAAGCAGCAATAAAAAAAACAGTAAAAACTATAAGGAAACTAAAACGATACATATCTTTGAAGGAAAAAGGAAAAATTAACAAACTCGTTGCCATTATCTGGAAACGAGAAGCAGAGACGATGGACGCAATTGTATACTTTTACTTTTCTCGCAATGTGTTTTTTGTAATTTTCTCACTTGACTTTCGTGGCTGCGGCGTTGAATAATTTGCGCATACTGTAAATATATGATTTCTCTGGAGCAACAAAATATATACGCAACAAGACAACACAAAAAATGGACGCGACTTCTAGCATTATGGCGAAAATCAAGCAATTAGTGTGATAGCGTAATCGTGTACATTTTTTTAGCTCTTAAGGAACATTTTTAATTATCGTCTGATGAAAAAGTGGAAATAAAGACACGATTGGTTACATCAATATACTTAAATGTATTTCCTCTCTTCCACCCATGTGAAAAATATTCTTCGCGTGAAATGTCTAAAAAGTGGCTGCATTCGAATGCGCTATTCAAATATTTTTGTTAGATGCTGACCTACCACTGTGCAGAATGGTATGCTCCACATATCTCAGTTATTGTGTTTGCTCGAGTGCCTGGAAAATCTTGTGTATAGGATAGTATTATATCCACCGCAGTCGGAACGTTGGTGGTTTATATTCTACGATGGTTAGAGGGTGAGTGACGAGTATAATGCACTAACGCTTTGAATATATGAATAAGAAAATAACAGTGTTAGAAAAAAATCAATGTTGAAGTATCAAAATTTCCTTTGTGTAGTTAACAGTATCATTTCCAAAGGTGAATTATATTGAGCATAGACCTTACAAATTACTTCTTTTCGACACATTTTTCGATCTCTTGGTTAGCAGTTTTAATAGTTGTGAGTCTTGATATTGTTATAATAATGCACATACAACGATTTTATTCAATCAATTGCTTATTAAGCAATTCATCGTGAGATATTGCGACAGACGAAAAAGAAAACTGCTTCAGAAAAAATAGATAAAGAAATTCAGTTAATTCACTTCGACATTGATCAATTACCTTGATTTTTCGTGAAGGAAATAATAATTGTTAATATAATGTTGAAATCCTTGTAATTAATCAAAAATCTTATTGATTGCTATTATATTATAAAATAATTGTAAAATGTGTTAATTAATTAATTTTGATAATTCAGACGTCGTGGGCGTAATACTAATTCAATTATTCTTAATAAATCACATCTCTTCACACTTCCTAAATGCATCGACATATGAGGCATTGAACTTTTTCAAATTTTCTCATTCGCCATCTTCGGTTTACCTTTGTCAAAAATTAAAAATGTTAAATATTGTCATTCCCCGATGAAGAACGCTCGTCTGAATTGATCGACAGGTTATAGACAATCGCATAATAAGGCGGCTGATCCACGCGTGGACACAATGAGGGTAATGATTACACGGTGTCCATTTCAGGCGCACAGAAGCGAAAACGAGAGAGGGCTGCGAGCTTAGGACTTCCATGAAGGCCCTCAGGGGGGCGAAAGGCGGTTGTGACCGATTCGATTGAGAAGCCAGCGTCCTCTTAATAAAAGGCAAACACACGTATAAAAAAATGTATAGGTCTTTCGACCCTTCCCCCTCCCCCCTCTCGCGTTTGCTTTTCGACACTCTTTTCTTTTCCAATGTTGTGCTATTTTGGATGGCTACGGAAAAAAGGTGCAGCTTTCGCTCGTCGATTGTCTGCACGCCTTGACGGGGTGTCTGAAATATTGTTGACCAGTCTTTCAAAAGGTCGAGCTCATTTGAATGGGTATATTTTTGAATAATTGACATTCTTCTTTGATATTTCCTAACAATTATCATTGCATCCAGGGTTGACTGGATAGTTTTCAAAGGAAGTTTTCCTGTTTTGTGTCAATTTACCGCGCAGATCAAACCGCACTCCCCCCCCCCCCCCCCCCCCCAAAGAAAAGAGACACAGACGAGAGAGGCGAATTAAAGAAAGTAAAGAAGAGGATGAGATAGATCTTTCACGGATCCGATCAAAAGCTGAGCAGCTGGCCTACAGGTCGGATCAAGAGTAGGTACGCTCGTTCTCTCTACTTATTTTCTTTTTCAATGTGTTTTTCGTATTTCTGAATTACGAGCTTTGGCGCACTCGAACAAACTTCTTCGTCGATACGCGTTTGCACGCGCGATCGCGTCCTCGAAAGCTGCTCTGCGCTTTTCACACGCAGGGAAAACTCATTGTGCGTGCACACTGAGCGTATAGCGTGTTGTCAGGGATAAGACGCCTTTCGAGCTTTCCACGGCGCATCTCAAACTTGGAGTTGAGTTAAGGACAAATGTTTTATGACTGCGATGGAAACGGAATGTTTTCAGATGAGCCAGCAGTATAAGTGTTTTTGCGAGAAGCCAGTGTCCAGATAGCGTTAATCAACTCTGATTAACCTCCATTCGTTCGGCCCGCAACAGTCATCTGCTTAGTATTAGTCTGCAGTATCATACTTTTTTCGCGAGATGCATCGTACTTTTTTTCGATATAGCCACTTTGCTGCTTCACTTCAGAGGCCCGAAAGTGGCCAATCGTTGCTTCATTGTAAACGAATAAAATCAGTGTTATATTGTTTATTCGTTTTACAGTTCCGAGGCAAACTCGACGTTACCCAATCAACGAGAACGAAGTATTTTTTAATCGCATACATCGTAGCAATGCTCCTCTATCTACACTGAGTTTTAACAACGTCATTCTTCATTTCAGATGAGACGCTTTCGTGCGGATATATTTCCCGTCAATTGAGCATGTTTACTCATTGATGCTACAGCTGCATCGGCAATACAAACCAATTGACACCGAGAAAGCTCGTAAGACGATTGTTGTTGGGGTGGGGATGGCTTATTCGCTGGTACGTGCACCTTCGATCAGCGATTCCGGCGCTGTCATCCGTGTCGCGTCGCATTTTAATTGCCGGACTCGATTGTAAAGCCATTTCACGCGAGAGACACCGCGCGCTATCTGTCGCAGCAGCGCGCGTATTAAAATTCATCGCGTACCGAGCGTGGAAAAAACAGGATAGCGCGCATCCGTTCGCGTGCCAAAAATAACATACCCGCGTAATTGAACGATTCGGATGAAGGAAAAAAAAGAAAAATGGGATCCTTTTCTCACGCAGGGAGCACTGTACACCGACGATCCCGCGATTACACACTTTTTTTCTCCTTACCCGCATACATGGCATTCACGCAAGGTATATACGAAAGAGAACCACAGGCGTACACGATGTATGGCGCGGATCAAGGACTTAAAAAAAAAAAAAAAAAGAAAAAGCTGTATATATCGTTCCGCGAAACAGTTTTTCGCCTTTGAAACGTCGGATTCTCGTCTAGCGTGCGTGCGGGCTGTGAAAAGACATGTCAGAAAAAGGGGAGGATTAACGTCCCGAGAGCCGGAGAAAGAGAGGCGCGCAGAAAGTGATACGATTCTTTGATTGTTCATCTCTTTTCCTTTCCTTTCTTTCCGATGCACGACGATCGCTTCGGCACGGCTCGATCGCGATCTATTCGCCACTTAATTTCAATTTGAGATTTGTCCTGCTCGCGCACGCCGGGGCACGTTGTAATACTTGCGTTCCTGCTGCAGCGGGGCTGAGGATTAAAGTCTCGGTCGCTCTATAGTTTTTTTGTCAGTTGATTTAGGGAACACGCGAACTTTAGTATGATTTGATTTATTCTCGTATTCATGTTCGGCTTCAGTTTTCAATGCAATAGATGTACAATCCGTTCGTTGATCCACCAGTAGATTTGGAAAATTTGCGTTTCAACGAACGCAAAGAGTCAAAATAGAAAACGCAGTTATAGCTTAGTCAAACGTCTTTTTAAATCAATGATAACATGTGCATAAAACGTGTGGTATTGTCGAGAGTCTTATTATATGAAAGTTATCGAAACGACGATGTATAAGTAAAATATCTCGTGATTAATTATACGTACAGTCTTGCAATATTATGTGACAATTTTATTTGCCTACGTTACATTACAAGTTAAATTATTTTCTTTACTCTCTACTTGTGATTACTTTATAGATGCAGATGATGCCAGACGGATACCGGCGTTCACAGCATCTATCAAGAATAAAATTCTTTTTCTATGATAAGAACAATATTTATGATTTAAATTTGTCACGTAAATAATATAACTGCTATTTCGGTAGTGTACAGAAAGCGTTTGTACTACTGACGATGCAAATATAAGTAACAAAGCTTACTTCTTTCGACCAACTCGTTAAAAAATAATCAAAGAAAAACCCGACGAAAGCGAAATCCAAAAACACACCATCAAATAGTAAAAGAGCATTAAGACCTTAAAAGGAAGAAAAAGAAAGAAAAAGAAAGGAAAGAAAGCCCATCCGCAATCGGAAAACCCAGAGTTACGGCAAGAGGGGGCTATATAAGGCTGTGCTATCGCTCCTGTGTTTGGTTTGAAAATACCTTATTGTTTCAAACAGCAGCAGTTCAGCAGCCGTAGCGTAGGTTCATAAAAAATTCAGCGCTCGGATAATTACATCAGCATCGATCGTTGCCTCGGGCACTGGGTTATAGTCGGCCCTAAGATATCCGGCAAGAAAGGAAGTTGAAAAAAGAAGAAAAAAGTTCCAGACGGCGATCGATTGCCTTTGGGCTTTCCCGATTAACTCCAGCGCCAGCGAGCCGTGTGTCTAGATTTCCAGATGCAAATTTTTTTTTTTTTTTTTTTTTCTTTTTTTTTCCTTTTTTTCTGCCTCTCCTCGCATTTTCGCCGTATTTATTTGTTTGTCTTTTGGACGAGTGCAGTCGGCGCGCGCGCACTGCGCGTGTTGACACTCGATGTAATAGAATAATCTGCGCGCTCGAGGCGCAATCGACCGACGGCGCTGCGGTGGTTTTGTCTCGACCGTATCCCTTTGCGTTGGTTTGTATAGCCGTGGCTAGCCCGCAGTACAAACATCGAGTGCAAGCGCCTCTGCCCCTCCCCCCCTTTGTTTCGACCTCTTTAACGTGCTGCTGCTGTAACGACCGATTAAAATCTGTATGTCCGTGCTGCTAATTTATCCTACACGATTGCGGCTGATGATCTCTGTCTTTGACCGACGATCGTCCAGGTATATAGCTGCGAACTTAGCGCGCGCGTCGCGCTCAGATTTTCTCGGCAATTAACGGACTTGGCGCTCGACTTAACGATGCTGCTCGTCGGAAGCGCTCGAACAATGCGCTTTTTTTTTTCCTCGAACGGACTGAGTGGCAGGCGCATCACGGGGCCGCCGTTAATGCCGTGACAATACAGATGTTTTCGCGCGTATAACGCGCAAAATGCCTGCCATATATACCTTTCACACTTGACCGGAGTCCTCTCCGCGCGCGCCTTTTTAACTCTCAGAAGGCAAAGAGAAAAT